TGTTCTAGGGTCAGAAGTTTCCAGCCCAGTCCTAAATCCACCTTAATGTAATTTAGATCTACTGTATTCCACTGACCTTCCTTCAACACAATGGCTTTGTCTGTCCTAACTACACTACCATGTTGTACAGCCATAGCTGTTATGAATTTAAGATCTGAATATGAAAACTGGGTCAGCCCTGACCAACTGTGTGACAGGGATATTGTATCCATTCCCTGATATAGCTTCCAATCTTTAGGGAGCATGTCATTATTCTGAGGACACTTATTACAGCTCACAATAATGATGGATAGGCCAGCCGCCTGGCTGATTTTAAGACAAAGAGACCCAGACAAAGAAAGCAGTGGAAATTACTGAGTATGTCACAGAAAATATAAAATATTTGAGGGTTTAATCTCCCATCCTGGACAGGGGGTTATATATGCAAGTCTTGTTAGTAGCTACAGGATTTTCTTGCTGGTCCATTGCTAGGAAAATTCATCCTGACTTTACAAAAGCACAGCCTTTCCTGCATCATCATCATCAGCAGCAGCAGCAGCATCATATGTGCTTTTGGTAAGTCAAAGTTACAAAGTAGTAAATTACTACTATACTACTATCACTAATAATACTAATTGCATCTGAGATTCTCAAAGTGCTGTATACTTACAAAAAGGGAATTAGTGCGTTACAGTTCATATTTTTTCCATGATCATCTCATTTTCACTCGCAGCACTTGCCCCTCCATACCCAACATTTGGAATTATAGTAACGTTCTTCACAAACACCCAGAAAATGTCTGTCATAAGTGAAGTTACTGTCTCGGTAATGACCAGCAGAATATGTACTGCATTTAATATATTGGCTTGGTAAATCTGCTTTGTCCGCTCTAAGTGGTTGTCTGTCATAACCATGTCTGTTCAGAGTGAAGTGCATTATATAAATAAAACTATACAGACAAAATGTTTGTCAATCAGCAAAAAAGGCTATACACCTACTATCCAGGGCATATATACTTTGTAAGCATTGGTTTCCAACAGATAAATGTAATCAAGGTTTATATGCTCACAGAAGCCAACAGGATGGGATTGTTTCACTCGAAAGATCAGAAGAAAATTGTAACTAATGTTGTGGAAAATTACTTTGATATTGCCTTCTCAGTACAGCATCACAATTAGGTAGCAATGTGAAGCACAGGGAAAGAATAAATGAATAGTAACAAATCAACACAAACAGCTACTGTCAGGAGTACTTTGCTCAGTGAAAGTAATGTAAGCATTACTTAAAGTTTTATGACTGTAGTTTTTATACTGGTTTAAGCAGTACATCAAGGTTTCACCATCATGCTTGCTAGGACTAAAAGAACAGAGCAGAATTTCTGGAACAGAAAGATAAAACTAAAGTACCAGTGTATTTTTATTAATCTTATTTTATAAGTTAAACTATGTAAAATTAAAGATGACTGAACATACTAGCAGTGAGAAATGCCTGCTTGGCCAGTGCAAAATTCTGCTATGCTCCTTTTCAGTGAAAAAAATGATCTTTATTGACTTTTACATAGCTTGCCAGATAGATTTCAGTGTGTTGTAAATGCATTCAGCTATGCAGTAACTACATGGGAAATACAGAACAAAAGGCTAATCAAATAAAACTTTGCCGAACAGAATCCATTGTCCTAAATAGTTTAGTGACACTTATATTTATTTACTTCTGTTGAGGCAGCAATGAGGCCAGCAGATGAGAAAGCAAATCTTTTAAAAGCTACTTATAATTCTGAAGACACAAGAGGAAGCATGCTCTGAAGCCCACCTAAGTTGTCTCTCCCATACACCTGACAGATTTCCACATAGCTTGGTGCACTTTAAAGAAACATGCCTACCCTCCTTTTCAGTTAAACGATCAATCAGTCCTTTCTGGCTATAATTTATGTTCTATGGCACAAATGCTTCAGGGACAAGAGGCCCAATTTTCAGAGGTGTTGAACATGGGACGCTCCTGAGTTGAACAGAGTTACATGTGCTCAGTGTATCTAAATAGTTGATATATGGAAAATAGAAGTACATTTATTGTAATTCCAATGAACAAAAATGGGAATCTGATGTGTTAATCAGGTCCAGGTTAGACTTTTTTGGCAGTAACAGATACCTATATTTATGTTCATTTTACTTCTATATAGAGGATCTTGCCTGTGAAATTTAATAAATTACTTGGCTGGCTGCATCACTGGGGTGCCTCAGTTATGTTTTTGGTGGCCCCATTGTACTACTTCTGCCAACCCCCAAAAATCTCATCACAATGTATCACAATCACTGTCAGTGCTCAAGAGGTCATGACTGGAAGATCAGGATATTAAAAGCCAGGACTATTGGGAAATGCAAGAGCAGTGTGGAAAAGCTTGCATGTTGCCCATTTAGGGCAGTGCAGTAGGTCTGGATATTTGCAAATAGAAAAGTAGACACTTGGTTGTTGCTGTTGTTTGTTTTTGGTTTTTTAATGTTGAAACTATAATATTAGTGGGTAGTAAACAACAGGAGCAAAAGAAACCCAGCAGTGCAGAAGTAACTCCCACCTGCTGTGTTTGCTGTCTCCAGTTCTTTGTGCACAAACAACCCCCTTTGCAGGTGTGCAATATGGGACACTGTGTTATCCCTCTGAGGACTGAATTTGACCAAACCCACTAAATAAGAAGGGTATTTTAGAGGGAGTCTGCATTGGGTTATTGTGGAATTCATTTCCACCACACCCACCTATTGATCATATTTTAGTGTCACAAAGATTAATGAATCCTTAAACTTGCAATACTTAATTTGTGATTATTTTTGTTTTGTTGCAGTAAAGGTTAATTACAAATGCCGACACCTTTCATGGGGCAGACTTTTTATTGCATAGTAAAGAGAGATGACTGTGAGCCTTGTTACCCACCAATCCTATTCTGCAGACACAATCAAAGTCTTAGACAATAAAGAAGAGGCCTATGGGGCTGGGGAGAATGATGCTGTCATGTATAGCTATTTCCTAGATTGCAAGCTCTCCCCGCATTGATCTCTCCTCTCAGTATCTTATCTAGGAAGCTTAATTTTATGGAGACCCTTCTAAAGGGGAAAAGGGGAACAATGCCATACTTCCAAATCAGCAGGGCTTTGGCATCTTTCCTTGTAAAGATGCCATAGCCTCCTTTTTTTAAATTCATGCAGTACCATGAAAAAATGGGAGCAAGTCAGGTTTTTACAGCATGGCTGACAGCTGTGGATCATCTATAAAGAGGTGGAATCTACAGCGTAGAAAGTAACATCTTTACTATGTAAGAACATGAGTCCTTGACGGGTCAGTTTATAGAATCATAGAATCATAAAGGCGGGTCGGAAGGGACCTTGCAGATCTTCAAGTCCGACCCCCTGCCTGGGCAGGAGAAAAACTGGGCTCAAATGCCAGGTAGGCATCAAGCCTCTTCTTAAAGACCCCCAGGGTAGGAGCCAGCACCACTTCCCTTGGAAGTTGGTTCCAGCTCCTAGCCGCCCTGACAGTGAAGTAGTTCTTACGGATGTCTAATCTAAACCTCCTCTCCAACAACTTGTGGCCGTTATTCCTTGTTATGCCAGGGGGTGCAAGGGGAAACAAGGTCTCTCCCAAACCCTTCTGGTCCCCCCTAGTGAGTTTATAGATGGTCACCAGGTCTAGGCATTGCAAAGGGAATGTCCAGTTTCTGTTCTCACCTATATTCAGTGCATCCCAAACTAAACCAGTTTAGTTTAGGGCATAATGGGGCCCAAAGTTGTCCTCTTATTGCCCTGTTCTCCCAGAAATATATGTATGAAGCTTCCACTGATTTCAAATGCAGCATACCTTTAAGAAGAACTTGGGTTCTTCTGAGTGTCAGTTATTAATATGTTAGTTGTTTTGCATCTAAATATACAAAAGTAAATTAAAAAAGCGAGTGACTAGGAAATCCTCTGCTTTCAGTTTGTGCCACAGCATTAATTCATTATTTCAACAGTTTCAGCTGAGTGGCTGCTTTCAAAATTAGAGTGCAATTGGTCTGAAGTAATAAATATATTAATGTATAAATATGTTTGTTAACATAGAAATAAACACGTAATAAATCTGGATGCAGTGAGTGGCACTTAATGTAATGATGGTGCTTGGGCTCAGTGTCAGGGTACAGCACCTTTAAAAGTGATAGCAATATTTTCCTTTTAAAATGCCCCCATTATTAGGAGTGGATATTAACTGTGACTAGTGAACAGAATTCTTCTCGAAGTGGTGTTTAATCACAAGAGAAGATGCACCTGATATAAAAGAAAACACAATGTCCTTTTTTGGGTACACTACTGTGAATGTAAAACCCGGCTACGCTTTTATCAGCACTCATTTTGGCTGCTTATCACTAAAGTATTTTAGTATAACCGAGTCAGCACAACTCCCTTTTCTATATAAGTTCATGCATCTCACCTGACCCTCATTTCATGAGATTTCATTCATTTTAATCCCAACATTACCTATGAACTAGGTGAAAAGGGTCTTCCCAACCCTCCTGGTAGAAATGACAAACTCATTAATAGAACTGGTAGGAAGAGATACTCATGATGAAAGAATTAATCTCACCATTTTAAGTGTCTTGAACTTATAATGTTATGTCTCTCCACTTGGGTCTCCCATATAAGCAAATGCCAATTGGGAGGCATGCATCTTCATGGCTGGTCAGTGAAGTGAGTTTCTTTGGATTTACACCACTGTAAGTAGGAGCAGAATTTGGCCTCAACTGAAGCAGATAACCTTGGTGACAAAGCAAGGAATCTCATAACCTGGCAAGTGTTTACTGAGTCTAATTTAAAAGCCAGTTGTGCTTTCAGCAATTTTTTACTTCCAAAAACAGACTCTATAAAAATAAATTAAATATCTGTTCAGAGGAACGCATGTGCTCAGATGACCTCTGTAAAGCATGTAAAGAGGGTTAAAGACACAGCAGAAATTACTGGATGGATGGGGTAGAGAAAATGCTAAATAGAAACTGGAATGCTAACCTGGTGTCTGCTGATGGACTATTTCTTCTGGATCCTGCAGATGAATGAAGACGACAAGCCCAGCCGCTCCAAACAGCAAAATGAAGGAGAACATACATGTCAGCCTCATAATTACAGTTCTCAAATCAATCCAGTTTTGCCCCAGGAAATGAACTGCATGCAATCTCCAAGATGCACTCTTCACTCATAGTCCCATCTTCTCAGCTGGTGTTACAGGATAATGCCACCTATAAGAGGTAAAAAAACAAACCACATACAACTCATACATCACTTATTTTTCAAAACATTTTTCAAGACAGGTTGATATTTTTTATTTTTACACCTGATGACTGATCTACATATTCCCCCCTTGATGCTAATCTGGTCAATTTTTGAACCATCCATTTGCTTTTAGTAATGAGCATGTCACTTTGCATTTTCCACTTCTTAAAAGGAAAATGTGGAATATCATAAAAAAGTGTAATTTGGGGAAAATGATCATGCAGCAACTGTAATTTGAGCAGAAGCCCCTTTTAACAGTCTGCTTGCTTCAACTGAAGCATGTGTCACTTTTTATTTTTCACTGGTTAAACAATATGAAAACCATACAGTGAGATAATATGGGAAAAATGATCACACAAGTTGCAACTTCTGTGTGAGATCCAGAGAGAATGAGAAACAATTTGCAGCTCTCTGCGTCATTCTTGGATTTTTTCTTTTTTAAATAGGCATGTACCAGAGGCCAAACACACAGCTCATTGATAAGCTTGGTAGATGTATTGACTGAAGGAAGTGGTATGTTCCAAGGACCTGATTTAGTTGTTTTGGTCACTTTTAACTGGTTTGGATAAAGCTAGCTTTGGCAGGAATGATGGTGTTGATGAACTATTAAATGTGAACAACAATTCTGTATAAAGGAATCTATGGCTTCTCAGTCAGACATTGCACTTACCCCTGTGTATAATCCCAAAGAGATGCCAGCACAACTGAGCATGGAGAAGCCCCTATACCTGGTACCAAAGCCCCAATTTGGCAAAACCTTTAGAAAATATTTAACTTAAGGTATGAGTGTAATCCCACACAAATCAATGGCCATTTCCAGTAAGATGCTAAGAAGTGAAGAAATGAAAACTGAAGAGAAAAACATTTAGTATCATCTCACTCTGTTGATGTTAAGTCTGATTCTTCATTTTTTTTTCAGCTCAGTCAAGGCTCACCTTCCTGTGGGATTAGGGTGGGGCTGGGCTCTAAAACTCATAATTTCTTTGCAATAGAGGTAAACGCTGCACTTGTTCTTCTTGGGTAGGGACAGAAATTACACATAAACTGATGATGAGAAACCAGTTCAAATCCAGAACACACCAGAAGTTCATTGCATATAAACCACTTTCAAAATGGCCAAAACTGGTTGAAGATAAACCTGTATGGATGTATCAGACTTGACGGATTTAAATTAAATCAGTTTATTGAACTTCTGTCCCAGATCCCCTCCAGTTTCAAGTTAACTCATAGTCCCCCGGCATCCAGGGATGCTTTGCACTTCCCCCTTAAACCCTCCCTTGTAGGGTGGGTGGCCCAAGCTGTCTGCCAAACAGATCTGAGCCACTGCCAGCATGTGGCTGCATTTCTGGTGTCAAAAGTGAATGTTCACTTGCTTATTAGTTCAATATACACAGCATAAACTAACCTGAGAAGATTGAATCAATTCAGCCTTGAGCTTTTTGACTATCTGTATTTAGCCGTTATGATATCACTGAAACAGAAGCTGCCCTGGGGGTCGCAAATTAGAGTCATGGGCTTGCCATCACCCTGTCTTTCTTATATTGCTGACTAAGATGGGGGTTATGGTTTCCACAGGTAGTTCTAGCTCAAAAAGGGTGTTTCCATTGTGGAAAAGATTGCACTATGAGATGTTGAAGTGAGAATGGTTTATGGGAAAAGGTTGTAAAGCTTTTAATTCATGATAATTACTCCAGTAAAATTCTTTAAAGTGATGACCAGAATGTGCCTGGAATATTCTCTATAGTAGCATCTTATTTATAGTTTTTATATTTTTTTATGATAGTCTTTTAATGTTGTGCAATGCTTTGAGGTTTTAGATGTGTAAAATGTGCTCATCAAGAACTTTAGTCACACATATGCAATAATTAAAAGCACGCACTCCAGTAATAATGCAGTACATTAAGGACCATCATTTTGGTAAGTAGATCTGAAATTCTGTATGTGCAAGTGAGGTTTGGTCTACAAGGGACATATGATAATTGTGCTAAATGGAAAGGGAGATAATTGGGCTACCCACTCTCCTCCAGTCCTGTGAAGCCCAATGAAGTGATTTCAGTGACTCTGACTGATAAGTTTACATGATTATTTAATGGCATCCATGTTTCTTCAGAGTGCAAAACAGCCATCAGGAGAGCTGGAGGGCAGAAACATTGGTAGATGTCTGTATCTTAGCAGAATGCAAGACACCAAGTTCTCTCTATGAATATCTGAGTTCAGCTTTAGTTTTTGGTGTATATTTTAAAGTGCATTAACTGCATATTTTCCTTTACTGTACTTCTGCCTCCTTTCTTTTTAAAAAGAGGGAGAGAGGGAGAGAGAAGCAGCTATTTTCTAGGTTGTGGAAAACTGACACAGATACATCCTAATAATCTCTCAGAGGGTCTATCATATTTGTGGAACTATGAGCCAAATGCATTAATTCTTCATGCTAAAGATCCATGTACTTGTTTACTAAGGACTGAATTCTGCTCCTATGGTTCCTTCAAACCACCCAATGAAATCAAAGGGAATAGGCCTGGGACTGCACCAGATCCAGTTTAACTTTGAATGTGACTGTGACTAGATATGGTTTAAATGGGAATACTCTGTCCTGTCCCTGACACATTCAGTCATTGAATACAATGGGACCTGGTATCAAATAACTTGTTTTGTTTCAGCAAATCAAACCCAGGCCCACCAATGCTTGTAAAGTTGTAAAACAACTGTAAACATATCTGAGCCTAATTTGCACAAAATGAACTATTCCAACCAGGAGACTTTACAACACTTTCAGCTCTCCTTTGAAATATGAATTTTCATTTCCACCTAGGAGAAATTTTACAGTCTTTGCATTCTCCTATGAATGAGGAAGGGTGAGCATGCCCAAAAGCTTGCAAATAAAGACATTTTAATGCAAATATCTAATTGGTCTAATAAAAGATATCATCTCTGCCATGAGTTCTGATTCCTGTAAACATTTAGGATTCTGTAGTCATAGCTTCTCTCTAAGATGTGGTGCCCATTTCTGTCACATATGAGCTCTTCACAACTATAATATACTTATCCTCACAGAGCAGCTGTTAGATAGAGAAGTGCTATAATTTCCATTCTGTAGGAATGTGGAACTGAAGTACATGGAAGCTAAAGACTGAATCCTGTTTCACTTTACATCATGCACAGACTTCTCAAGATGAAGCACTTAACAAAAGCTACGTGTGTATACTGAAGGAAGAATAGATCCTTTTGCCCCATGGACAGGCTGTTACCTTTAGTTATGTGGCTGTACAATGAATGTACAAGGGAGTGGAGAAGCAGGGAAAAAAAAGAGAGTCCCCTTCCACAGCCACTTTTCTTAACAAAAATACAGACCTTAGAAAGCTTAAATGATGGGTTTGGGCTTCTCCCTTTTCCACTGTCCTGTAATTATTTTTTCACTCAGTTGACTTTAATTAACCTGCCCCAGGCCTGCAAGCCTGGGAAATGAGAACAAGTTTTTATACATGCAAGTCATGCATTCCCTTAGCCCTCCCAGCCCCAGCCTCTTAGCTGCAGTAGCAAAGAATCTCTTAAGCCAGTTAGCACTGATTTATGCACGCAAATGAAACACACTGTAAAGGAAAATACCAGGAGACATTATTTAAATCATACATAATTTTAAGAACAGGCTAGTATCATACTGGATAGTATCATACTGGCTAGTATCAACAGGCTATTATCATACTGGGTCCCTGGCTCCCTAGTCTGAGTGATCAGGTTCTCATGGACAGCAGTCAACTGGTGGTGCCTTTGACTCAAATCTGGAGCAAAGCTCATACTCATGCCTTTGGACTTACAGTGAGATGCCTTAGCTGTTCTACCACCACGTTTCTCAAATGGGATAAGACCAGGAGTCAGCAATGTATGGTCTACAGGCTGCATTCAGCCTGTAGCAATTTCATCCAGCCCACAAAGCCCAGATATTGGCAATGTTTTGGTAGTGGGGCAATTCAGTGGCATTTTGGCAGTGGAGGGTTTCAGTGGCAGGTCACACATATAGTGGCCATCATGGTAGGGAAAAGTGGCAGCAACACTTTGGTCAGAAATGCTAGCCTGCCTTGGACCAAGCTGTATAATTTTGGCCCCTGCTCCAAAAAAATTGCTGACCCCTAAATAAGACAAATTAATACTGGAATACACAGTATTGCTGCCAGTGCAGAAGATCAGATTGCAGGGAGGCTTCCACTCCAACTGTACCTTTGGACACCCAAGTGAATGTGTCACACAGTGGGGCTCACCTAGAACCTGCAGTAATGAAATGAAATATGTAATTTATAATTTATACCATCTGTACACTTCAGAGGTGGACAAAGCTTCTCTGTATTGATATAAGTTTTTATAAGGTTGCCCATTACCATTCTATCTTAGTGCTCTGCCCTTGAAAGCAGCAGGCGTATGTGTGTATGCTGATAATAATTAGCTCTTATGTAGCACTTTCCAGTCTCAAGTATCAATCACCATAATACACATGTATGCAGTGAGACAAGTGTAAGGATCAAACTGAGCAAAATGTATTTTGTTACCAAAGCAAGCATGTAAAACAAATCATGCTACAATTTTAAATACAAATATTCTGATATGTTTATGAGGAAGATGTCTGCATATTTTAGCAGGATTTTCAGACATTAAGTCCTTTATTTTCAAACACAACAATATACTCAATTCCTCCATGCTCCCAGGCAGTATTGAAAGGAAGTTAAAAGGGCAGAAATGCCATTACAAACTAGTATGATGGGAAAGCTGTGTTGTATTAGCTGTTTAATTGAGGATGCTCCAGTGTGTGATATGTACTGTAAGGTCTGAAGGGTTTGAAACTGAGTTACCTGCAGCATCTCATGAAAAGGTCTGGGTCAGAAAGGCAGCCTCTTGACAGGAAGCAATCTTCATTTTAAATGAAAGTGTCATTAATTTATTCCATGTCCATCATAACAACATAGTGCTGGTGTCAATGAC